GTACTCTATACTTACCTGAATGCACCAAGTCTCGCAGCTTTTAAATGCGTATGTAAACCGCCAAACTGTCTTTTTGTGAAATGCTTCGGCCAACAAGCCGCTTTTGATACATGTTTTCCATCTCTTCTTGAAACTGCTTGCAGGCTGCTTCGTGAAACACAACCCCCTCACTGTGCAGAATCACGGGCATTGCTTTGGCGGGACAGTCACCACAAGAAGGGAGCACCTTCTCTTCGCCCTTCCACATTTCTGAAGGCAAACTCAGATGGATGTGTTTGCATTTACTGGCGGAATTGTGCTCTTCCTCCAGACACTGGCTTCCTTTGTGTGCTATCAGGCATCACCCTGGGTCTGTGGACCCTCCATTGGCTCCTGCACATGGGGCTAGGGATGAGGACTTTGGCAGATCTAAGGGCAGAAGCTACTGTGCCCTGCAAGCAGGCTGCTACTTATATACCCACTTCTAAGCTCTGACCATGAGAACAGGTATCTTAAAAAAAAGTTAGTAGCACTCAGCATCCCAACTTCGGTGGGGAGGCAGAGAATGTGTGCATTTAATGTAAAAAGTCATGTGCTCTAAAATGTACACACTGTGCTATTTGCTTTTGCTGGGACTGTATTTACCAGCTCACTTCCTGGCTAGTGGCCACAGCGCTCTCTGAAGCCATTTGCTCATGGTTCTCCCAACAGTCAGATGTTCTATAGCAGACCAGCTCAACCAGTAAGATTGCAGTCTGTCTCCGAGTCCTCCCATAAATGAGAGCCACCCTGGGCTGCACGCTTGTCTTGGTGCAGGTGGAAAGTCTGATGAGGACTTCTCTTTTTCTCCTATACCAGTAGCAGCAGCCAAATGCACTTGACCTTGAAGACTCCCTAGATGCCAGGGTGCAGACCATTCAAGCATAGATCTGGAACCAGTCAAGAGTCTGTGTGAACCTGTGAGATCGTATCCTCCCTTAGCTTCAATGTTTACCTTGGAAAATCTAAAATGAGTCCATGTGTAAGTTTTAAATAGGAACCGAGTCCCTGGACAGCCCCTCCAAGGGCGTGATTCTGGAGACGAGAGGACATGCCTGGGTGCATTCAGCGGAGTCACACGAGATCTCCAAACTCAAAATGTTCGATAGCAAAGTGAATTTCGAACACACTCAAAAAATGATGCCAAGTTATGCGCTAGAAGTCCACAGACTTCTAGACAGGATATTAAAAATGGGATCCAGATACATATTTCCATTGTTTTCTCCCCTTATAGTTTGCACGCATAGTTAAGAATTTACGCCTGGGTTTACTGGTTGGAAGAATGTCTCTTTTAAAGTAGCAACGAGCTGTTTTTAAGAACTTCTGTACCAAGTAGTTTGCATGGTGTTTATTTTCAGCTTTCCCCACAAAGGGGATTCTTACGGGCTAGTCTAACTCAAAGGTTCTCTCATTTCTCCTACCACCTCAACCTAAAGTGACGGGGTTAGAGGAAAGGGTTTTGCCTCTCATTTCTAAGTTATCTAGGACATCCTAAAAAATCCCTTCCAAACCGACACCAACGTGGCTTGCTTCATGAGCCGGTGAGGACCACAAGCTGTCAGAGCTGGCCTCTGGCACAACTGGGATGATCCCACTGAGGTGCTAGTGTGACTTCTGTTTTCAAGTAAGAAAAAGCTACATCCTAGACCTGGAGTGATAGCTCAACTGGCTAATCCTCCCTCTCCAGGCCCCGGCATGGTCATGTCCCGGCTGCTCTGCATCCCATCCAGCTCCCTGTTTATAGCCTATCAGGGCAGTGGAGGGTCACTCAAGGCCTTGGGACCCCACACCCACAAAGGAGACTTGGAGAAAGCTCCTGGCTCCTGGCTTCTGATTGAACCAGCTCCAGCCATTGCAGCCATCTGGGGAGTGGGCCAGTGAAGAGAGGATCTGTCTGTCTGCCTTTCCAATAGAAGTGGGCAAATCTTTGAAAAGAAAAAAAAAAGCTGCCTTCCAAAATTTGTGTTTTGGAGCCCCAAATAAAAATGATTCCTTGTCCATCTTTAAAGAAGCAAAATTCCATCATGGCCTCTTTTATGGCCCCTCCTGAGAAGGGAATCTAACCAGGCCAGTATTTGCTCTGTTGCTTTCACAGGATGGGAGCTAACTCTACACTTTCTCAGTCATCACATAGAGTTCCACCAAAGCAGGTCATCCACTTAGAAAGTACCTAATGCCAGGAAAAGAGTCATGACTGAAGACCGTGTGAGGTTTTCCCAGTAAGAATCACTGATCAGAATGGCCCTGAGCCGAACCACAATTCCGCTGCCATTCATCACCTTAAGCTTTTCACAGTGACTTGCTTTGTGGCTGTTGCCATGCTTTGTCCAGCCGCATAGCTCCCAGACTTTCCAAGGACCCTTTGAAGGAGTCCCCTCTTCCTCAGACCCTGCCTTCTCTCATCTGCCCAGTCTTTGCCACATGGCTCCTGGCTTGAGTGATACAGAAAGCAGTATGAATATATTCTTGGGCTCTAATAAAGTAATGGATATCTTCTCAGGAAACACAGGTGAATTTAAGCAGACCAGAATCCTCCTGTCTTAAAACCTAAGCCATGCCTTGTGCATCCTTTAGCAGAGGAGTCTCTCGGCCCCTTCGCAGCACAGAGCAGAGGCCACCAGACACAGCAAGGTCGCCAAGTGCCTGCTTCAGAACTGGGAGTTACTTACATTATTATCAAGAAGGGAGTGGGCAGATCTTCATATTCATTCTGTAAATTTTCTTACAATTTCTGAATCCACTAGCCCCCTTGATATGCCTCCTGTTCTGGGAATTTGTGGGGATTTGTTTGTTTGTCTGGGGTTGTTCTGTTTTGGTTTTTGTCTGCTTTGGTCAAATGCAGATCTCAGCTCCCAGGCTGACTGGGCTGATCCGATTTGATCTTCACAGTGCTGATTTTTCCCCCCTTCCTGTCATCCCTACAAGGGGTTGCTCAGCCTCTTTGCCTTTGTGGACAATAGCAGCAGCATTTGGAATCATCCCTTATTCCAGCTAGCAAGCACACTGGCACACACCACTCATCACTGGTGGGGGTGGACTCCAAGTTTACTTGGTGAAAACTGCGGACGGGATTACATAACCCATGACCCACGCCTCTGCTAATAGTTAACCAGGTTGAGAGTTAACTAAAAGCACATCTTGTCCCATGCAACAGTGGTTTGACAGAAGAGCTGTATGACAGACTTAGTATTTTACTGCTTTCAACTTCACCATGTAGTTTTGTAACCCAGGAAGCCATGCATAAAGAATGGCAGAGCGCACAACTGCCTGTAAAAACGGATTCTTATGCAACCTGTGGAACCTTGCACTGACAGAAGTAAACAAACCGGGCCCCTTAATTACCCTGAACTGGTCAGTTACCTCAGTCCAGACTAGCCACACTTTGAAATACTCATCCGAGTAAGGCTCCCCCGCAACCCCCGACCCCACCGCCAAGGAATAATTGCAACATAAGTACTGAATTCTACAACCATCCTTTTAGCATATTGTGAGACAAAAGGAAGACTTGGAGACAAGCCTGAAAGTTTGTATTTTTATGAAGAGAATATATGGAAGGTTGATATTTGATCGCTGACAATCAGGAAGAGGAGTTTAGGACATGATGGGAAAGCTTCAACAGCCTTCAACATAGCTCTAGTCCAAAGCAACTTCCCTCTACCCATCACCTCCCCCCCCCAAAAAAATCAAAATGTACTTCATGAAACTATTGTATATGAAGCACTTATTAGCCGTAATTAAATGGACAATATGAATTTACTACGTCTTTAGGACTCTGGCTTGTTCTGGTTTAGAGCAAGATGATTAATGCAAATACATATTACTTGAGATAACCATTTAGCAGCTAATTTAGCCAAATTTATTACAGCAGTTAAAGGTTTTTCATTTTAGCAGACGGAGACAAGGACATGCCAAAAGTGGGTAAGGTAGACGAGTGCACACTGCCCTCTAGTGGCCGGCCAGTTGGCAAGCTATGGGGAGGGGGCACCGAGCTGCTGCCATCCCGATCCAAGCAGTAACAGCAGCTTTTGGCACATTTCCGGCATCTTTATAAACCATTCCCATCCATAGTGCTCTCTTTCGGGGCATGATTTACTGCACCTTCCCCTTTTTACTAGCTCAGGACTATCCAGATACAAATCAAATCACTTTCAACTTGGCGACGTTTTGGTTAAAGTATCAGTTTTAACATCTGCATTTTAAAGCTGTCTCAGTGAGCATTTCATGGCACCGACTTCCATTACAGATTGTTTTTACCTGTTCCTTCCTTTGGGGCCATATTTCAGAGTCTGCGTGGAGCTGTCATTCTCTGTGGGTCTCACCAAGTCAATTCTGTGCCACCCTTAGGCTAATGTTCTTCCCTTGACTCAATGGGGGAGTTGGTTTTGTTCCAGTGTGCCGCAAAATTCTCACCGGAATTCCCCCCCACCCTCTCGGATGACCAACGTAAATTCATCCCAGGACTATGAAGTCTGTTAGACGAGATCAAAAGCAACAGCTGTGTAGAGATGCTGGTGGGTAATGCTCACGCCGAGGAGAGATGATCAAAGACAGGACTGAGGAATGCCCTGAACCATTCAAATACCCAGATTCCCTAAGAGGCCTACCTTGGAGCTAGAAATAAATCCTATACAAATTTGCCTTTCTTACAAGCTGACGTCAAACCCATTGACAATATCCACACCACATTAGGTGTTCTGTGAGCCAAAAAGATTTGTAGCCTTTTGAGCTTTCTCACACCATGGCTGCCCCAAATGGAATGAAGTCTTGCTACAGATGCCAGCGACTCCCACTCCTAAGCTGCCGCTCCACTGAATTGTTGATTTCGTATTTACCCTCCTCATGTTTCTACACAAGCAGAAGGGGTGGCCCCCTGACTTGGTGCTGGCTCTCCTGTGTCTCGGACTGAGCTCTTGCAAGATGAAAACTGTATGATTCTAGTTTTAACACGATGCCTTCTGTTTTGTTCTGCCTTTTTTCCCCAGTGCTAAACAAGGGTCAGTGTGTGACGAAGTACTATCGTTGGATGCAGAAGAATGGAGGATATATCTGGATACAGTCTAGTGCCACCATAGCTATTAATGCCAAGAATGCAAATGAAAAGAATATCATCTGGGTGAATTATCTGCTTAGGTATATTTCTAATTTTCTTTTTATTATGTCTGCCTCAGTTGCAAAACACGCTGCCCTCCAGTTCATGGGCTGCCATGTGAGTGCTACCTTTTGACAGTACCTAGTGTGAAATTTCATGGCTATCCTGCTCATCCTGCCACAAGATTCAAAGAAATGGGAGATCAAGCTATGTTGTGAGGGACTTACAGGGAAGATTTGCAAGATTTCCAATCATCCTTAGACTGTCCGTGTTTGGGTAGCTTTGGCTTCCCCATAAATGCACAAATCAGGTAAAGAATACAGAGCTTTGTCTGGAAAGGAACATTTTTCTTTAAAAAAATAAACACTTCCTTATCCCCACCACATGTACACAGACCCACTCCGGTCCCTGCGATAAGAGGGACTGGGGAAAAAGTAGCAGGGTTTGTTACCTTCTCTTTGACCCCTTTGACACTCTCAGTGTATCACCTGGGGTTTCATTCCCTCTGCAGTAAAAGTATTAGTCAATGGTGTGAGTCGCTTTGCCAGAAACCAAGACAATCTTAGCAGCAGAGAAGGCAATGTTCTCTTGTCCACTGGTTCTGTGATCACAGGCAAGTTTGACAGCTCTTAAAATACAGTCTCAAATTTACACCCCTGCAAGTCTCTGATCAATGGCTTCTTCAATTCTGAAATGTGATATCATTTCATGCTCTTTTCCATCAACTTTCTTTACATACAAACCAGTAGAAATGTAACCAAGACCAACAGTCTGCATGGCCCGTGTTGGACGGGCAGCTTCCTGCGAAATTCTCTACCAGTCCTGTCGCAAAGTTATCCCGATGCCTGACCTGGCTTCCTTTCCACCACAAATTTGCTTCTCTGAGCCTAAAGCCGCCAAGCGGGGCCCATACAGTAGGAAACCTTAGGAATGGAAGGCAGTGTGCTTTGGCTGATAATCTGGACAGGGAGTCTCTGGATCCTATTTTTCTTCAAGACAGCCCAATGGGGCTGAGATGCTAACAAGCATGGCTCATCAGCATCGGCCCTTCCGTCTTTCCCATACTTTGGTAACGGCTCAAAGGCATGAATGTGCTTGCTACCAACAGCATATCAATCAGACACTAATGATTATCGCTGTAGAGAGGGCCTTAATGTGTACCACTTAGAAGAGTCTTCATTTATCTCCTTCCCTTTTCCTTTGCTGACCTCGTCTGCTCTACATTAATCCCCACTAAAGGTACAAGTATGTGTATTTAATGTAACGTTCTCCAAGGCCTGACTGCCACCGAACTATCCCTTGAATACAGTATCTTCAAAAATGACAGCAGTATCAAGAAGTCCTTTTACTTAGAGTTTTCCGGTGCAGGTTATAAAAGGCAACATGCCAAACAGAAAATAGAATGAGCTATTTTGCCGTTGACAATCTTCCACTAGGCAAATGTGGTATTATTCCAGGTTGAGTCATCACTATGAAGAATTCAATACAAGAAACAGGAGTACTAGAGGTTAGAAAGTATTCTCCCATACTGATGTAGTATGGCATACTAAAACCATCTATGTGGTTGTCCCTCTTGTTTTGGGAGATTTCTTACTGTCTCACCATCCTCATAACTTCCTACTCCATCTCCACTGGAGGAAGGAAGCAGCTGCAAGGACAAATCAAGCTGTATGACTTTCAATCAACCATGGATCACTGAGCCTAGGACCAAATAGTACAAGTTCATGTGTGCTGATGATTCTGTTCTATCACATTCCCCATGGACAGGAAAAAAGCGGTCTGAGCATCCAGGCCCAAGAACTTTAACCTCAAGTATGGTAGGCTTGTTTCAGTTGATCTAAGGACACACCCTAAGGTCGATGATAAAAGGCTTTAAGTTGGAGGACCAGTGATCCAAGAACCCTTGACACATGGACCAAGGAGACTCATGCAGGCAGCTCCAGCATGCTGGCCTGTGTCATTGCTGCAGACTGGCCCGCTAGTCCACAAAGGAGGTAGCCTTGGCAACACTGCAACTGCTGGAGTTCAGTCCACTCCCCCCATCTTCCTGTCTTTTGTTCTTTCGCGAGCAAGACCTCTTCCTTCCCAGAATCCCTCACTTGTAGGCCCCATCCGGACACTCCCTTCCTTGCTCTGAAATGACTGCTCTTCCAGTCTTCTTCCCTGTCCCTCCCAAGGCTTACCAGAATTATAGACTCCAAGTATTCAGAGACTGCAGAGTGCTAAGTCCATCTTCTCCCCATTAGTCTTATCTGATTATCTGCAGAAAGCCTTGCTGCTGAAGCTAATTCTCACTAAGGCATAAATGCTTGATCATTCATCTTAGTGAATTAACCCTCCAAGGGACGTTTACAGTTCTAAGTGGTTACTGAAACAGTGACTCTTCAACGCAGGGGTTTTACTAGAGGTTAGCTAATGAGTCAGTGATCATCTGCTCTAAGGCTCTGTGTGACTGGCCATCATGGGAGGGGACAGGAGGCATGTCCCACTCCAGCCCTTGCTTCTAGTAGCGTGCACAGCAGGCAGGCCTGGGAATGGCATTTCCGGAAGACAAACCCAACACAGACTGACCCAACGAAAGGCTTTGTTTCTAAATTTAAAATAGAACAAAAATGAAGCACATGTGCGCAAATGGGGTTACAACCACTCTGTTGGGGACTCTTTCACACTGAGGCTCTCCCCCACTGCAATCAGGTTTCCAGCTAACAAGCCACAGGTGTACACCACGTGAACTGCTGAAAATGTGATTGTAATGGGTGTGTTGACAGTTCAGTAGCCATAATCCATGCATCCCTGAGGTGCACCTGTGCATCTGTCAGATCGTTAGGCCCTGAGGGCTCTGGCCTCACTCCCCATGGTTCTGGAACCATCTGAACAGCTGAGAAGCTATATCCAGCAGCCAAAACAAGGGTACTGAGGCAATGGACTCATTAGGAGCCCAAGAGAAAGTAGGGCAGAGCAGGAGGGATAGCAATGAATTGTTGAGGGTGCTTGTCACCCTTCACCCCACGCGTCATCCTGGGAAGAATGCCAAGTGGCAGAGTTCTCTGGCCCCCAGGGGCACCTGATTATTTAAAAGCTTTTCAGTGGCTTTCATGTCACATTTGGGTATCCAATCATTGCACCTGTTCTCTGGCAACAAACAAAAAAGGGGCAGGGGGAGCCAAGCTGATGTGGAAGTCCTGTGCAGAACTATGGAATGTTTTCACATTTAGTCTCCTAACCTTTCTAAACTCCCCAAGTCTGGAGCCAGGGAGTCCAGGCAAGGAAAAGATGGTGCTCAGCCAAGTGCAAAATGGGCACCTGCTCTGACGCATGCTCCCCGCCCCTCTGCTACAGCAATCCTGAGTACAAGGACACCCCGATGGATATAGCACAGCTCCCCCACCTGCCGGAGAAGACCTCAGAATCCTCAGAGACCTCGGACTCCGAATCTGACTCTAAAGACACCTCAGGTACTGCAGGTATCACCTCTCCATGCTCCACAGTCATGGCTCTGACCTTCCCAAGGTCGAGGGGTGGGCGGCAGCCAGCAGGTCAGGGTCAAGTGTACTCACCGTAGGTCAAGGTCAAGTTTTATAGAGAGACATTTTAGATGGCTTTCCTACTGAGTCTGCTCCCTACACAATGCATGTATTTATACACCCTTACAGACAGGTGTATAATAATAACAATGTAATTGCTCTCTACATATGTGCATGCTTGTGATGGCTTAATGTGGCATGGCCTGTGTAGACACACACACACACACACTCTATCACACACATATATACTGAGAGACTGATTTAGCCATCACTTAATGCCAGCCCTCCCTTAGAAATACAGAGGGAACCCGACTAACTTCACAGCGAACTGTGGCCTCCTCACGGGAAAGCAGGTGCTGGGTGTAGACAGCCTGTGACTTGGAGGCTCCCATGGAGGGGGCCTTGGAGAGGCTTCACATCCTCACTGAATTGGGATCGAACTTGTGCAGTGGACTACTCAGTGACAGGAAATTCCCCTTTCCGTGTGTGGGACTCGTTTTCTCAAAGTCCGCAGCACAAACTCCCGCTTTCCCATCTCTAGTTCTTTTGGGAAGTAGACTTCCTAAGTTAGTTCTTTGGGACACAGGAAAGTTGTATTCAAATTTACTTTTCCTTCAGTCTCTGACTTCCTTCTGCAATACACAAAGAGAGGAGTATACATCTTTTAGAACTGTGCAGATTAAAAAAGAAAAATCCAAACCTTTGCAGCCCAACCTCTTCTGCTACAGGGGGGAAGCAAAGGCAGAGTGGTTCCAGGAGCATCCTAGCGATGCTGCAGCAGTCTCCTGAGGTTGCATTGCAGTCCAACGCCCATACATGTGGCAGGTAGCCAGGCTTCCCGCCAACCACCCCCAGCATGCAGCCACTGCTCTCTGCATCGCTCAGAGAGGCGGGAGGAAAAGAGCATTCCTACAGGGCTGATGGTTTTCCATCCCCCGTGCCGTATTCATTCGCAAGCCATTTGCTATGGTAGAAGTTCTAGAACAGTCTCTGCACCTTAGTTTAAGAGGATATAGCAATGAATTGTTGAGGGTGCTTATCATCCCTGACACCTGGGGCTGGTATGCTAGAAGGAAATAAAGACAGGCAGTGAATCGAGGGGGTGAGTCCTTAGTGCTGTGGAGAACAGCCCTTTGATAGAATACAATACGGCGTTGTAAATACATTCACCAGAGAAGGGGCAGGAGTTTGAAGGAGCCACCATCCCTGTGCTATGTGACTAAGCCCTTGAGCATCCTGCCCCCAAATTGCCCATGGCCAAAAATCACCTGCGCAGGGCCTGGGAATCTGCATTAGTAACAGGTGGCCCTGAGTATGCGTCACAAATGTACAAGGAAGCCAGGAACCCGCCAGCGAGAATGCCAGCCCAAGGTGGTCGAGACGCACAACCGACCCGGGGACCAAGACCCTATCCACCTCTTGCTCTGCTAACTGCCTCTCTCCCTCCTTCTCTCCCCCATCGCTCCCACCACACGTGGGTCACGGACCCCACACAGAGGACAATGAGAACTCCAAGTCGGATGAGAAAGGCAACCAGTCAGAGAACAGCGAAGACCCGGAGCCCGACCGGAAGAAGTCCGGCAACGCATGCGACAACGACATGAACTGCAACGATGACGGCCACAGCTCCAGTAACCCCGACAGCCGAGACAGCGATGACAGCTTCGAACACTCGGACTTTGAGAACCCCAAGGCGGCCGAGGACGGCTTCGGCGCTCTGGGCCCCATGCACATCAAGGTGGAGCGCTACGTGGAGAGCGAGTCGGACCTGCGGCTGCAGAACTGCGAGTCGCTCACGTCCGACAGCGCCAAGGACTCGGACAGCGCCGGCGAGGCGGGTGCGCAGGCATCCAGCAAGCTCCAGAAGCGCAAGAAGAGGCGGAAACGGCAGAAGGGCGGCAGCACCAGCCGCAGACGCCTGTCCAGCGCCTCGAGCCCCGGCGGCCTGGATGCCGCCGCCGCCGGCCTGGTGGAGCCGCCACGGCTGCTGTCCTCCCCGCACAGTGCCTCGGTGCTCAAGATCAAGACAGAGATCTCGGAACCCATCAACTTCGACAACGACAGCAGCATCTGGAACTACCCGCCCAACCGGGAGATCTCCAGGAACGAGTCCCCCTACAGCATGACCAAGCCCCCCAACTCCGAGCACTTCCCGTCCCCGCAGGGTGGCGGTGGCGGCGGGGGTGGCAGCGGAGCTGGCGGTGGGGCTGGCGGTGGCAGCGGGGGACTGCACGTGGCCATCCCGGACTCAGTCCTCACCCCTCCGGGCACCGACGGCGCAGCCGCCCGCAAGACTCAATTTGGCGCCTCTGCCACCACCGGCGGCGCTGCCACTGCGGCCTTGGCCCCGGTCACTTCCGACCCGCTATCGCCCCCGCTGTCGGCGTCCCCGCGGGACAAGCACCCAGGCGGGGGTGGCAGTGGTGGCGGCAGCAATGGGGGTGGCAGCGGTAGTGGTGGTGGTGGTGGTGGCGGCCCCGGCGCATCCAACTCCTTGCTGTACACTGGGGACCTGGAGGCGCTGCAGAGGTTGCAGGCGGGCAACGTAGTGCTGCCGCTGGTGCACCGGGTGACCGGGACCCTGGCCGCCACCAGCACAGCTGCGCAGAGGGTCTACACCACAGGCACCATCCGCTACGCTCCCGCCGAGGTGACCCTGGCCATGCAGGGCAACCTGCTGCCTAACGCGCACGCTGTTAACTTCGTGGACGTTAACAGCCCCGGCTTCGGCCTTGACCCCAAGACGCCCATGGAGATGCTCTACCATCACGTGCACCGGCTCAACATGTCAGGACCGTTCGGCAGCGCGGGAGGCGCAGCCGGCCTCACGCAGATGCCCGGCGGCAACGTGTTCACCACCGCCGAGGGACTCTTCTCCACGCTGCCCTTCCCCGTGTACAGCAACGGCATCCACGCGGCACAGACTCTGGAGCGCAAGGAGGACTGAGGCAGCCCACCCCCCGGGCGCGGCGCGGCATGGGCACGGTCCCGCTCGGAGGCATGGTCTCAGCGTCTTCCTTTCCACCTTTGATTCTAGCACTTTGGATTCGAGCAGGTCCGCGTCCTCTCTGACACCACGGGCCCCAGTCCATCCCCGTTTTCTTTGGACTCGAGACTCTTCCGTTCCCCGTACAGATGTTGTTTTATTTTTGGGCGCCTTCGGAGGGTCGGATGACCGGTTTGCCTGCCGTTTCGTCTAATTCTGAGCTGTGTGTTGGGTTTCTATTGTCGTTTCCTTTGCATCTTTATGAGGATGTCTGTACTGTGTTTATGCCTCTGCCACAGAATACTCACGCTTGTGCTCCAGAGATTTCTCGAGCGACAACCATTGGGCTTTCTTCTTACCCGTCTTGATGTGATCAAGATGGAGAGAGACAAGCATAAACAAATGTGCCCTCTTTGACGAAGTCAAATGCAGTGGGGGTGGGGTTTGATGGTTTGTTTCGGTTCCTAATTCCTTTCAAGATAGGGGGATAGTATTTTAGAATTTTATGCAGAATTTAATTCTCTTTTTATGGTTGAGATTTTAAAGATTTTCTTACTTGCACAGAAAAAATAATTTGGGTTCTGAAACTTAATTTCTGGCCTGTGACTAGAATGTTTAAAAAAAAAAGTTGGACTAAACGTTAATTACTGAAACATTAACTTCATTTCTAAAACCATGGTGCTATCATTTATTAATCTGTAATGTCTTCATACAAAATGCAGCTTCTGGGCTGGGTTTTGGAGAAAAACAACACAAAACAAACAAACAGAAAACAAAACCAAGATCTGTCCTGGTCTGGAGCCCGTGGCTGCAGTCTCCTTGGTTAGTTCAGACGAAGCCCTCATTAAAGGACTCACAGTACTTTACCTCCCAGCTAACAAACATAGCCTCGCAATTCATGAACCGGGTCAGGAAAGCCCTTTATAAAGGGGGCTTTTGGAAATCTCAATCCAACTGACTTGGGAAGCAATTGAGACACATACTGCCTTTGGTTGAGCTTTCTGTTTGTTTGTTTGTTTCCTACTCAGTGTAACTGAGACTGATTTTGCAACTTCAGTAACACTTCTGCGTACAAGCAGGGAAAAGATGTCACATGTTTGGGTTTTCTTCATTTCTCGCTAAACACAAAGAAAGGAAGGTTGTGTATTGGGGGGCTGATTTGACTTGATGGAATTTATTTCCCTTTGGTACTTATTTCTGAGTTGAAATCATTAAGTTTTAAGACTAAAGAATGGGTTAATAAGCTTCTGACAGATAACTGCAACTGAAAACTGCACACAAATTTAAAAAAAAAAAAAGAAGAAAAAAAAAAGGGGAAAAACAAGAAAAACAAACAAAAAAAATCCTATTTTGTCTTTGTTGCCAGAAATCAGTGTGGTGTCAAACACACAAATGACTGTCAAGTATAAACTCTTCCTGCAGTTCATTTTTGGCAGCTGTTTGTTAAGGCATCTAATCATGGATGTGCGAACTGTGATGTGTGCAGTGTGTACGTGTCTTTGACGTCAGTCCCATTGCGGTTTCCGTGTGTGTTGCTATCTGCAGTATATACTAAGCTAATGTAGTTGTTTTGTCCTTCGTCTTCGCTGTGCTCTCTCTCTAGTCCGGAGTGGTCCAGTCCCATTCCTGCAGTCCTAGTGAATCAGTGATTCTTGGGGGTTAGTGGTGTTTGTGTGGTGGCCTTCCTCTGTGACGTCACCCTATGCTGCTTCTACCGTGTGAACCTTTGAACCTATGCTTTTCCTTCCTAAGACTCCTGCTGTTGCTTTGCTGGTGTGTATTCTCCCTACCTCTCCCTTCTCCCTCTCTCCCCAGCCGCCTCCCTTTCCCCTTTCCCTTCTCTTCTTTCCTTCTCCCTATCCCCCAAGCCTTCTTCATTCTCAGAGATTAAAAAAGACTCTTAACTAGCTCAAGGTTTAATGGAGCCATTTTTCCCACAGTGGAATTCTGGGTGTAACTCTGTCTTCGAGTGTGACACAAAGCACTGAAGACTAAAGCTCAGATGTATTCCTTAAATCAATGCCATATAGCCTCAGCTGTTAACATTCCCAGAGTCCCTTGTGCTCTACCTATAAGCAGTGGGTGCTTTTCTTTGGTTTTCCTTTCAGGTTGGCTGATGGAGCAATACATAAAGCAATTACCAGTGAGACAGAAAATTATCTCAAAGGTCAACCAACATTTTAAAAGCAAACAAAAAACAAAAAGGGAGGGGGGTAATGGAATATAGAATTGTTATATATATAAATATATATTTGTCTATCTGTGCAATGCTAATAACAGAAACTCGGCTGTCCTTTGAATAGATCACTGTGTTGAGTGGATTCCTCTAGGACTTTGGATTCTGTGAGTTGGGCCCAAACCATGATCGAATCCTAAGTACGCGAAGTGAAGTGCTGCACCTTTCCATAGCACGCTTCCTTGAAGGCTTTCGGTGGGTTTGGATGGTGAAGAAGGCCAATTGAGAAATTTACAGATGCATTTTGGGAAGCTCTGCTCTAGCTATCGAACAATCAAGGGAATGCACCTATCAGCTCTGAACAACAGCTAGACAGCTGGGTGGTGGTGGTGGTTTTTTATTTTCATTTTCTTTTATAAATGTTTCTGTGTTGTGTCAAAATGATTTCTGGTGATTTAAACTAACAGATCATCACAGCTGCTGTCTAAAATCCATAGTGTTTAAAATTACAAAATGAAAAAAAAAAAAAACACTTCATTACCTGTGAAGGCTGTGTCTGTGTTTTTAACTATTTCTTGTACAAATATATGAAAACTTTTATGAGGAGACTGGTGCCAAGTAGCTGAATAATGGGGAAAGGGTTATCTGTTCGTAAAAAATCTTAGCAGTGTTGCCAACTCTACAATATATATATATAAATATATAAAATAATTAAAACATTACAAAGCGACAGCTATGGTACATTTGTTTTGTGTGAAGCTAATCGGACCTAACTCCCTGAGTGCCTGGCTTATTTTGAAACATTTTTTTTTTCATTGACCATTGATAATGCTGCAAATTAGAAATGTACATACTTCATTTACAACAGGGTTCTTTTTATACTTTTGTAGATTCTCATACATGTCACATACATGGTTGTCTTTATGTAACTTAATTTTTTCATCTGCAGGTGCCATTTTCATAATAAACTTCTCTTGGATTTGTTACTATCTGGCATCATTTCTTTTACATGAAATCATCCAAACTAATGAATGCTGGTAGTATTTGTTTAAGCAGGTACATCAGTCATTCTTTACTTAAAAATAAATGAAGTTTTAAAAAATCCGTATTTCTGCTAGTTTTGAAAAAAAAAAAAAAAGGCATAGTTGAGTGCTGATGAGGCTGACAAGGCCCAGAGTAAGATGCTAATCCAAATACTACGCCAAACGTGCCACCATCCTAGACTTTCAGCTACCCCAACTCATCATCATACTGAGCATTACTCTGCACATTATCAAAGCTGAGCAACGGGCCTGCTACATGAACCACTAAGGCAAGTGTGCATTTTCTCTTGATGAATGCACGACCAGTGATGACAGTTTTCATGCATTGATCATTTAAAATGTACTCGATGTTTTCATCTGTGGCAACCTGTATCTGTATAACCAACTGTTCCGTCACTAGATCTTCCCCCTACTAAAAAGGTACGTTTTCTTTCCCCAGCCAAGCTGAGCCATGGTTGTGCTGCATACAGTTGGGACAGCATGTGGCCTGTCACAGGTGAAGGCAAGTCAGCTGGCAACTTTAAAAAAAAAAGGGAGGGGAGGATAAATTAGGTCAGCTATTATCTAAAGGTGGATCACATTTTATATCTGCTTTGGGAAGAAAAATGAAGGGTTATGAGTGGATTGGACTAAAAAAACGAAACACCTTTGTCCAAAAAGTTACCAACAACAGAAAACAGTATCTCCCCAGTTTGTCTTCACTGATACTTGTTTTCATGAATGGAAGATGTTTCAGACAGGTGTAAAGTAAAGTTTAGTTAGAGTGATGAGGCCTTCGATTTCTGTATATGGATCCTTGAAATGAATACTTAAAAATAGGAAATAGGGAGAGAGTGACTGAGTATACAGGATTGGTTGCACCCAGCTACTTCCCCAAAACCCATCTGCCTTCTGCTCTTAAGAGTCAAGAGGATATTGAATGGTTAGAGTGAGTGGTCACATGCTGGTACATTGAGTGGCTGCCAGAGAATAGGCCAGCTTACTTTAGGTACTCATTCCAGCAGATACTGAGGGAGAAGGTTTAGTGGCAAATTTCAGAGCTTAGGGCACAGTACTACGACCAAGGCTAAGGTGGCAATTTTTTGAGTTTGGTAGGGGATGATGTTGGTTGCTCAAACGTGACACTTTATACTTCTGGACCTTCCTTTTGGCCTCTGACCCAGAGGCAGTGACAACGGGTGTTCAAATGGGGACATTGGATGTGGAGATGGTGAATTGAAATCCTCACAGTATTTGGTATTTCTGCAACACAAGTGGTAGAAATTGTATATTCTTATGCAGGCTGGAGCCTCCCTTAGCATCAAGTTCCCTTTTTGATGCATCAAGGTTTAGATCAATCACTAATCCAATAAAGAACATGCCATGGGTCATGAGAAAACCCTCCCACATGTCCGTCCCACTGTTGGTGAGCCCACCAGAGCCCTGAAATGGCCAACAGTGCAGGGTTTCTGCCTGGCTAGCTCAGTGGCTAATAAAGGGCCATGGTTCCTGTCTGCCGGTGATGGACAGAAATCAGGAACAGTAGTCAGCTCTCCACATCTCCTGCTTTCTCCCTCCCAGTTGATACTAAGCTTAGGTCATTTGACATTGAGTAACAAGAAAATAATTGTAAGAAAAACCATCAAGCCCAGTAAGAGAGAAGACAATACTTCAGCTGAAAAGAATCTTGTTTTAATACTTACAAGCTAGTGCTTACTGATCTTTCCCTACTCCAAAGCCTATTTCCTTTGAGATTGTTTAAA